TTATTAATATAACAATAATTTCCTAATATGATATAGGAATATCACACACTAATGATTGTGCAAACATCAAACAATCTATTGATATATTCTCTTCAGTATACGAATTGTGGGGTTTCTTTATAATCCTGTTACTCTTTCTAGGTTCCGAGATAACATTCTTTTATTATTATCTTTATGTTCGATAATTGTGTTATTTTGAGACAAAAATCTACCTTCCGGGATTATTTATATTTTTTTAATTAGAGAGTTTTCACTATTTGTGCATTTTAATTTGTCTGTTTTTTTATCACCAGACTTACTAAATTCATCTACTGATTTTGATTTTATGTCAGAAACGTCAGTTTTATCACTAAAATATTCCAAACTTAAACTATCTGATTTGCCATTATCAGATTTTCTAAATTCTAGAAGATATATATATCTATAAGTATAGATGTACTCATGCATCGTGTAACTGATGCAAAAATATGTTTAGTTATGTACATTACATGACCTTGAAGTGACTTTCGAGATCAATAATTAAATGGAAACCACAAATTTTTGTCTATCGAGATTTGCTAAACATGCTAAACTATTACACTACGAATGACTTCTGACACCACAGAAATTTGATCATTCTTAACCAATTCGTCAGTTTGTCGATATTATCGTTCACGATGAGTTATTCAATGCAAGAGAAAATTGATATGATTCTGATTTATGGAAAATGTGATCAGTGTTTAAGGCAAGCTGCTCGATTATACCGAGAGAAATTTCCTGAATGGAACTGTTCATCGTATAGTACATATGGAAAGATAGTCAAACATTTCTTTGAGAGTAGTAGTGTCAATATGAAGAAGCGTATGCGAACGAACATACATACATACATACATTATGAACGTTCGTAACATAAGTGTTACGAACGAATTAAATACGAGATTTGTTATGGAAAAACTGAAAATCCGCATGTTAGTACACGATAATTGGAACGGATAACTACTATTTCCAAAACAAGCATAATACGAATGCTTCATAAACAAAAATTTCATCCGTATCATGTGTCCTTCGAACATCTATTAAAATGACAGTTTAAAAAATAGGTTCGTAAAAAGGTCTTACAAATTTCATGATGGGGTTTTATGATAGTGAAAATTTATCGTTTCCATTTAATTTTTGATCTCAAAGGTCATGTAATGTACATAACTAAACATATTTTTACATCAGCTACACGATTCAATAAAAAAGTTATACAATTATTCGCAAAAAAATATCGATGACCTTGTAAACTCCGAAAAAAATTACCTTGGAAAAAAATATTTTTGCAATACGATGGTTTCTCCAAACCATTGAAATAGCATAAAAAATTGTCTTTGTATCCCCGCAATTAAAGAAGATATTCAAGTGGACCACCCTGTATAGGGTGTCCCAAAATTATGTTACTTCCGGAAAATGAGGAGTTCTTGAGGTCACATGAAATAACTTTTTCCTTAGCAAAAATGCAATTCTCGGCTTTATTTACGAGTTATTAATGAAAAATACTGACTAATGAAATGCCAGCTCGACTAGCGTGATAATTCGTAAATAACTTGGTGGATTGCATTTTCGCTAAGGGAAAAGTTATTTCTAATGATCTCAAGAACCCCTCATTTCCCGGAAGTACCATAATTTTGGGACACTCTGTAGAATTAGACTATGTAGATAATGTTTTTAAGAAGGATGAGATTTTTTACAGTTTTTATATAGAAAGTAGAATATATGTATAAGTTAACTAATTGTAAGTTGAGGTAATAGTTTAAATGTGAGCATTATTTTGGTGTTAGGAATTAAAGACTACAAAACTGTAATAGTAAACAAATTTTGTTAAATTATGCTTATGGACTTTGTTGGCCTAAAGCTTTTTTTGATAAAGAACCACTGTCCAACTTGGTTTAATGCATAGGAAGGAGAAAAGAATTGGAAATGCTAGAAGTTCTCCTTCCTTTTCCGATAGACAAGGGGGAACAAGTTTTGACCACGTGCTCAACATGCTTGACGAAGTCAACTGCAGCCAATAGTGGAAAAAGTGGGAGGATGCAGGAGGATGGGTACATTTTTATAAATTCAGTTAGCATTACTGTATAATCAATTAGTGTATACAGAGACGATGAATTTTGGTAGCATGAGGTGCAGTAAAAATCGTGATTTTATATGGAATCTATGCTGTCAAGGTTATGTCAAGAATCATTAGGATCTCTACCTTTCGGACGTCGAGTTACACATTTTGAAATAGTTTACAGAATTATTTTACCGATAAAAAATTAAAAACCCATTAACTTTTATCTTTTTTAACAATTACAATTTGGTTATTTTCAGATTCGTTTTCTGCCAATAGATCGGTAAGAAATTAAGCATAAGCAATGTTCAAAGTAATGTAAGTAATTTATTAAATTATTTGTCAATTATTTATTACATTAATAAGTACTTTTCATTTATATTTATACTTTTTCATTTATTTTACAGGTGGCTGGATGACCATATGTGGATAAAAACCTGGGCTTTATAAAACTGATAGATGTTATTGCAGCATAGATACTGATAAGGTAGTCATTTGATAATTAATGCGCCTTCTGCATTACTAGGTGGATCTCCTGTGATATTATCACTCTATTTTGTCTTTGTACACGTCACCAATTGTTCCTACTATCTATTTTCCTTATAATTATGCTAGTAAGAACAGGAAACATTTTTCTTCCTCTGGGTTATTGGACCTAGGATAGAAAGATAATTTGTACAGAAGGTTATGTCAAGGTTTATTTAATAGATTTAAGGTAAATGTGTCAAAAAAGTGATTGGACGATTAAGGAAAGAATTTCTATTCTAAGTCACTTATTAGACTAATAAGTTTTACATTTATATGTGGATAGGTTTATCTGGATGGGTAGATTGTCTATTTTTCGAAATACATGTCAAAAGAAACCTTTCTATGGAATGAAATCCTTTAATTGCAAAAAATGTAAGACCCTTTCCATAGCTTAGTGATTGGACAGAAATATGTGCATGTCTCAGTTATTGGACACTTTAGTCCTAGTCATTGGACACGATACAGCACACATTTGTTGTTCAATTATTTGATTAAACTATGAGATAAAGTGAACAAATTACAAAATGCAGCGACAAAAAGTTTACAATTAATTCATATATTAAGCACACAATGAAAATATCAAATAAAAACATATAATTTTTATCAAAAAGCAGAAAAACATTGTATATTCTCATTAATAGAAAAGGTTAATATAATTTTAAATCGTAATAAATACAGAATATTATTTAATGTTAAGATTAATAATTCAATTAAAAATGAATTATTTAATACAGAAAACACATTGGTATACGCAAATGTTTATACAAGATTTATAATAGTTACTGTTTCTAATATAATTATATGGTTATATATATAGT